CCAGCAGCCCCCAGGACGCTGCGCGACCAGCAGAAGCCTGACTGAGTCTTCCTCAGACAGGCCTGGTTACAACCTCAGCTCGACCCCTTCTCACCGGGGTGACCGGGTCAGTGACTGACCTGCCAAGGAAGGCTCCTCATTCACAAAACAGTGAAAATAGGTCTCCCTGAGGAGGACTGTTCAGGGGCCTGAGCACCTTAAAAGTGCAAAGACGGCTCCTAGCAGATAGCTTCGCCTCACACCCTCCTCCCCACAGCGGTCCCAATCACTTTCATGGGTTTTGCTCCAAAATTACGTGAAGTCTGCCGGCCTCTTCCCGGCCACTGTCCTGGGTGGGTCTCTTCTACAGCCCAGACGACACAGCAGCCAGAGCCATCTTTCAAAAGGGGCGTTAGAGCTGGTCACTCTCCAGCTGTTTCACTCCAGCTGGGGTAAAATCCACACTCTTCCACCCTGACCCACAGGCCCTGAGGACTCTGCGGACCACACCCCAGCCCTGTCCTCTCAGTTCCCTGAAAGAGCTGAGCGGTTACTCCTCAGGCCTCAGCCCCGCAGTGCCCTCTGCTGCCCAGCTGCTGGTGGCCAGCTCCTCTCAGGCTTCAGGGGGTTCCCTCGGAGCAGCCTCTCCCAGCCCAGACTCTCGCTATCATATCATCCATTACTTCCTTCACATGTACAACTGGGAATCATCTTGTGTGCTGGGTGTTGGCCCATTAGGTTAAGTTCTACAAAGCCAACAGCCTCAACTATCTGGGTAACCACCACGTCCCCCAACCTGGTGGGTGGGTAGATACATAGATGGGTGAGTGGATGGATGATGGATGGATAGGTGAGTGGGTGGGTGAGTGGATAGATGGATGATGGATGGGTAAGTGGATGGGTGAGTGGGTGGGTGGATGGGATGGATGATGGATGGATAGGTGATGGATGGATAGATGAGTGGGTGGGTGAGTGGATGGATGGATAGATGGATGATGGATGGGTAAGTGGATGAGTGAATGGATGGATGGGTAAGTGGGTGGGTAAGTGGGCGGGTGAGTGGGTGAGTACATGGATGGAGGATGGATGGGAGGATGGAAGGAGGATGGATGGGTGAGAATGGGTGAGGATGGATGGATGGATGGATGGTTGAGAATGAATGGATGGATGGATGGATGGATGGATGGATGGATGGATGGATGGATGGGTGAGGATGGGTGAGGATGGATGGCTGGCTGGCTGGCTGGCTGGCTGGCTGGATGGATGGATGGATGGATGGGTGAGGATGGATGGATGGATTGAGGATGGATGGATGGATGGAGGATGGATGGGAGGATGGAGGATGGAAGGAGGATGGATGGGTGAGAATGGGTGAGGATAGATGGATGGATGGATGGGTGAGTGGATAGGTAGGTTGGGAGTGCAGAATTTCAAGCAAACCCAATTTCCTTTTGTCTCCTTGATCCATCACTTCTTGCTGTAGACCGATGGCTCTCTCACCAAAAAGATCTGTCCCATGCTGGTCGTGTGTGTCCCCCCGCCCAGTGAGAGCCATCGGCGACCCTTCCCAAGCTTGCCTGAGGAATCTCATCTCCTCATCCTTCTTCTCGTCTTCGCTGATGATCTTGGAGGTGGTGATGCTGACCTCTACACCATCCACCACAAACTTGCGGGTCCTCTTGAGGGTTTTCTTGTGCAGCCTTGAGTCCTGCCAGGGAGAATCAGGCAGAGCTCGGCCTTTCAGCAAGAACCCATGGGTGACGGCTATGGCCCGCAGCCCCACGCCCAAGGAGGACCTGGCTGTCCGCTGTCCCCTTGCTTCAAGCTTCTCAGCCTGGGGGTGAGTGAGCGCACCCCCTTGCCTCTCCCTGATCTGGGCCTCCAGACACTACCCCGTGCCCCCCACCTTGCTGCCAGCGCTCCCTCTCACACGCAGCGTTTCTAATTCTCTGCCGCCTGCCGGCTGTGTGGCCCTGGGCAAACCCCTTGTCCCGTCTGAGCCTCGGCTTCCCCATCTTGTGAGAGGAGGGGAAAGCAGCGCTTGCCTCCGGGGTGGTTACGAAGGTTCAGTGAGAAAATGCGGCAATGGCGCGCAGCGCCCGGCTCCTGGCGACTGTCCACGGCTTGGTATTTGTTCCTGACAGTTCTTACTGAAGCCACAGCCGTGTCCACAGCAGACAGCCCAGGACACCCCATTCATAACTGACCTGGCAGCCACAGCTGACCGCACCTGAACTCCACCAGAGGCCACACCCGTCTGGAGGCACCAGGAGCCTATTCAGCCTTTATCTGTTCCTGTGAATAGCCCTGCATTCCACAAGCTTACGGAGTACTGCCGGCCTCCGGAGCTGTTCAAATACCCTTCTCCCCGACTCGGCCGAGGGCCTGCGGGCCTGCACCGGAGTGGGCAAGGTATCTCCCTCTCTAACCGCTCAACTGGCTTTCGAGCCCTCGCTGGTGCAGCCCAGCCTGCCTTTCCAACATGGGCGGGG